AAATAAATATATAGAATTTTTTTTAATTAACAATTTTTTTTATTAGATTTTTCTTTCTTAAATTGCAGTGGTTTTAATCATGAAAGGCCGCATCACAATTTTAGAGTGCATTTATTTCAAAAACGTGAATTATTGTACATCATTGCGAATTGCCCTTTGCTACATTTGACGGAAATATTTTTTCTGTGCTTTTTCAGATTGTTCATTTGAAACGCTTCCAGTTTGTCAATGGTCGCTGGATTAAGTCTCAGAAAATTGTGAAGTTTCCACGTGAGAGCTTTGACCCCAGTGCGTTCCTGGCCCCACGGGAGGGGTCTCAAAGCATGGGCAGCCTGCAGAGTGAATCCCTGGTAGAGGAGCTCCAGAGACTGGAGAGAGGAGACTCCTTTGTGTCCTCCATCTCCACTACTACTGTGGCCAGTCCTCCCACCTCTGGCAGAGGTCTGTCTCTCTCTCTCTCTCTTCTCTTTGTGCAAACCTTTTGAATCAACATGAGATTCTCTAATCGTTGCATTGTTGTTTCAGGCACCCCATGCTCCATCAGGAGGGTTGGCAGCCCACTGAGCAAAAACAGCAGCCCTGGCAGCAGCCCCAGGAATACAGGGCGGAAACAGGGGCGCCTGCGTCTTCCCCAGCTAGGCAGTCGACATCGACTCTGCAACAGCAAAGAAAACCTGGAAGCCTGTAGCAGCAGCAAGGAGAGCGAGACTGAGCCAGAGCAGGGCACAGTGACGGATGGGGAGAATCAGATCACATCTGATGCAAACGCGCAAGACACCTGGTCACTGGATGCCTCAAGCAATGACTGCGATGTGATCATGGTGAATCGATTGGGACAAGACAGCAGTCAGAGTAATGGACACTCGGAGGTCAGCGCAGACCTGGACACCCCTCACCAAAGAAATGACATCTGCCTGGAGCCCCTGTACAATTTATATGCAATCTCCGTAAGTGACTCTTGTCTACATGATTTGTTGTGTAGTAATTGCATTTGTAAGCAGCTTCTCTGACACTGTGATTATTGTTTTTCTTTCAGTGCCATTCAGGAATAATGGGAGGGGGGCACTATGTGACTTATGCCAAAAACCCCAATGAAAAGTGGTACTGTTACAATGACAGCAGCTGCAAGGTAAGATCTTGAATCTCGTTATGTCTCGTTATATCTCCGTTTCCATTATTTTGCATTCTTAATACAAAACGTAGGCCTATATCTGCAAAGATAAAAAAATGCTTTAACAAAGTAGAGATATCAGATCTATCAGTACTTCACTGTCAAGTCAATATTAAAACAAACAAATTGGGCACTACAACCTTTCTACAGTATCTGTTGTAGCAATTACCATCTGAATTTGGCAAGCACAACATTCAATTAAATTTAATTGAATTAAAACAGATGTTATTGTGATGTTATTTAAAATTGGAAATAAAATTTAAATAGTTTGTTTAATATAAGTACTGTGGTATCAACATTTTATTTATATTGCTGAAATTTCCCTTGCATTTGGTGTTGAATATTGAAAAAAGAATAAAATAAAATAAAAAAGAATGTGTTTAATATTAGTACTGTGGTATTAACACTGGAAATTTCCGGTTACACGTTATGTTAAGGTATCCTTGTTACAGTGTACATTATACATGTAAGTACTGAGTAATATTAATTAACTGCATGTACTTAATATATGGTTAGGGTTACGATTAGGGTTTGGTTTAAGTAAAATTTAAATTTAAAAAATACAATTGTTTTAAAAATAAGTATTAGGTTATCAACATTGGATTCATATTTCTGAAATTTCCTTTGCATTGGTGTTGACTACTGAAAGTACTGAAAAATGAAATAAAATAAAATTAGTGTTGACTGTTGAAAAATAACTGCATGTACTTAATATATGGTTAGGGTTACGATTAGGGTTTGGTTTAAGTAAAATTTAAATTTAAAAAATACAATTGTTTTAAAAATAAGTATTATTTATTATTAGTTATCAACATTGGATTCATATTTCTGAAATTTCCTTTGCATTGGTGTTGACTACTGAAAGTACTGAAAAATGAAATAAAATAAAATTAGTGTTGACTGTTGAAAAAAAAAAATAATAGGATAAAAATATTGTGTTCAATAGAAGTACTGCGGTATTAACTGAATTAAATGTATATTCCTGAAATTTCTCTTGCATTAGTGTTGACTACTGAAAGTCTGGTTTCATGACAACACTATAGAAGTATTGCGCAACACTTAAAACAAACTGTTTCTTGTCGTCTCTTCAGGAAGTTCACTCGGACGAGATTGACACAGATTCAGCGTACATCCTGTTCTACGAGCAACAGGGAGTGGACTACTCACAGTTTCTGCCAAAAACAGAGGGCAAAAAGATGGCAGACACCACTAGCATGGACGAAGACTTTGAATCTGACTACAAGAAGTACTGTGTGCTGCAGTGATGCCCTGCTCTTCCACATCAAAGACACTAGGGGGGTCTGTCAGTACGCCAGTGCAAGGAGAACTGAAACGCAGCGCCACCCCAGAGGACCATCATTTGTGAAAGCACAAAATATCAGTTAGCCGACAGGCACAACACCGCCGCTGACTGTGCTTTCAGAATAGAGGTACCTGACACTTCAGATGCACCAGGGTGAGGGCAAACGAGTGAATCAGAGAGAACTGTAGCGATCATGTGATTGTTGCCAAGCAAACAAATAACTGTTAGCCAATCCCTTGAAATCACCATTGTCAGACAGACAAAACTGCTCTTTCACATGCCAGCCCACACAGGTGAATCCAAAAATCACGTAACAAGAGCTTATGCTTCTGTATTGATAATAGTTAGAATGCTAATTGGCAGATTGTTTCAATTAGTAAATTGATGGTGAAGATGGCATTGGTATCAATTATAGAGTTTTCTCTAAAGCTTTTGTTGGCTTAGCTTTCTCATAGTTGATTTTTTTTTTTTCTTCAGTAAGTTCCATACACTACCTCGCATCTTTTGCAGTTGGCCAACTGTTCATAGAAAATCAGTGACAGTATTATATCATCTGAGGGCAGATTAAAATGACTTCTACTTTATATCCAAAATTCACTTTTCAAAAAAAAGTTGCTTATTTTATTTAATTAAAAAAAATGTTTCTACCAATTAATAAAATATCTTCCCACTCCTCCACTGCCAAATTATGCACATGCTATTTTTGTTGATTTTAGTTTTAAGATGGTTACTTTCAGGCTTCGTTTCTCTTTAGAAGGGTAAATCTCTTATTTTCTTTTTAATTTTTTTATACATTTGTTTTTATCAAGGATTTTTTTAATGCAGTAGTTCACTTTGCCTAAACGCATTCGCTTACAGCTTTAGTCTCAGCAGTCTGATCAAACCACGTCCTCTCAACAAATGCACAGCTTTTTACATGTTTTCCTGCTTCGCAAAATACTGTTGACCGCAGAGACTAAAAACGGCAATCAGATACATATCCAAACAATGTTTTCTCACCATGTCCAAGCCAAAGTGTTCAACTGGTCCTGTACATAATGTACGGAAAGCATTGCATACTGTTAGACAAGAGCGTAAGAGGTCTGTTGTGTGTGAACAGTATTAGCACGGAGGAATATTTCACAACCTTTGCTTTTAGAGAACAGCATTCTCACTAAACTGCTGAACGTTCTAAACCTGGGGGTTCCAGGTTATTAGTAGCATTTCTTCAGTGACTCTTGATAAGAGAGCTCACCTTAATTACCACTGTGAAAAGATGTATGAAATATTGAACGGCTCTTATTTTTCAGCAACTCATCAACTGAATGAGCTCCTCCTGTGAGGAGGCGTTAAACCCTTGGAAATCACCGGGAATCATTCGCAAACATCCATTTTGCTGCTGTACTTTCAGATTTCTATGTCATGGATATTTAAACTAAATGTTTGCCATCAAAGAAAGGTTTATCCCTGTCAAAAAAAAGAAATGTTTGTGAAATAAACACAGCTGTATTACTGTAAGGCAATTGTTAATCATCATAATGAGTAATGCAAATATGATATATGGACTGTAAAGATTTTTTTTAGGCATTTTAATGTTAAAATAAAAATAGATATCCAAAATCTAAATATAATATCACCATTCTCCAATTATAATTGGCTGTTTGAGCAATTACAGTTACAGTAACAAGTGTTTTTGAAACCACGAACATGTTTTAAACATTCACAGATTTTTTTTCTCCTGTTTTTATACAGGGATAATTTATTAAAATGGCAAATAGATCTCTTTTCAAGTAGTGCAATCAACTACTGATGTGTGTCTTTGTCCATGTCGTTAGTCCTAATTTTGTTAAATTAATTTTTATGAACGGCTAGAGATGTATTAATTTAATGAACTCTATTTTGTAAAGTGTTGTTTAAAGAATACAATTGACATTGCACTGACTAATGTACATAAACGTTTTGTAAATAGGCAAATGAAAATGATGTATTTGAAAATGAACTGTACAAATGTACTTGTAGTTGTATATGGAGTGATACTGTTGATCTGTAACAATTATTCAAGAAGCAAATTAAATGCAGCCAAATGCACGTTCTTCTCATCTGTGTTTATTTGCTGGCGAATGGTGCGAGGTGTTTCCTTCAGCAGCAAAGAGGAAACCACACACCTCCCTCTGTAGGGCTCTATAGAGTCCAGTGCCATCAATCAGACTTACTTCCTTGAATTCAAGCCACATTTGACATTTAAACTAACCATCTGTAGGACCCTTCCACTTGCCTGATGCAATATTTTCCAGCAAGAGTATTTCCCTTGAATGAAATATACAAATTAAGCTACTGAGAATCACCTAAAGACCTTTTTGCACACTGTGGGTCGCGCAGTATTTCACAGTTTATATATTTGGAGACTAGCATGCTGTAGTCAGGAAGTGCGTCGACTTGCATGCTGTGCTACTTATAGAATTCTTCTCTAAACCACAGGTGCTGAAGAATTGTGGCTTATTGTTCTGAAGAGCACCTTAGCCTCAGTGGTCTTGATGCATGCTCGCACAGTATTGTCTCATGCAGAAGAAGGTTAGACAATGGTGTGCATTGCATGATGAGTTCAGCCTGGGGACCTGCTATTTTTATTGTCTTTTCTACAAGGTGACGAAACATCTTTAACATATTTGCTTTTCAGGTCTCGCATTTAAACAATTGAGACGTCACCTGGAATTTGTCTTTAAATAACTTTTTCTCTTTCAGTTCTGATGAAACATCTCACTCAGATTTTTAAACAACATGTGATGCTATCGGTGTCATTATGGCAAATGACAGTTCATCTGATACAAACCAGTCCCGTAAGCTTTTCTTCTCGATGGCTATATATATATCTGCTTTTATCAAATGATGTAACACGAATGCATGCTTCAACATGTTATGCTTCAAATTAAACTGAATAAATTATACAAACTTACAGTAGAGTTATATTGCATGTGCCTATATGAAAACAGACTGTAGTTTATTTCACTTTGATAGCCATCACATAAAACGACTTTTTCTTCCTTTACAGAACTTGAAATCGGACACACCATTTTAATCTACATCTACGCCGTTACCGTTTTCTTCATGGTTGTACTTGGATGCCTTTGCCTAAACAAGTATATTTATATATTTAACAAAAAATTTTTTTAAGAATTTAAACAAACTCTAATTTTTATCTAATTAATAATTCTTAATATTTATTTAAACTTGTAATTAATATACATATATATATATAATATAGTTTCTGTTTCTCTCCTCAGGTATCGGTCAATGAAGAAGGTCATATGGGAGCTAAGGCAAAAAAGGCCGTCTGTCCCCCAGATTCCTTCCCAAGATTCTCCACCTCCATCTCCCAATGTCCTGAATATTCCTGCACTGCCTGACCGTATTACAGAGAGCCCATTACAGAGACAACCAACTAAATCGAGCTGCAGATTTCCCTGGAAGCCTCCACTACAGGTTTACTACATATTTATTTTTTTTAAATGTACTCAATAAATTAAACATGTGTTGATGAGTTTTATAAATGCATATAAAAGGCATAACAAGTATGAAATGTGATAGACTTACTTAAACAATGCTTAAACAATGTAACTTGAAATGATCTTCAGGTTCCTCGGTTCACAAAGGCAGACCTAAACCTTATTCAGCTCATAAAGGCAGGTCGAGAAGGAGTCTTCTACAAGGCAAGGATAATGAGGGGCACATGTAGAGGCCATTCACTGGTCACTTGCAAAATTGGAAAAGAAGGTAGAAAACGACACGCAAAAGCATTTCTGTTAATTAAATAAATTTACCAAAATGTGTGAATGTCTCCATAACGATCCAGCAGTTGTTTAGATCTGCTGTTGTTTGCAGGTATCACCTCAAAGCAGATGGAAAATGAGGTGTCTATTATGAGAAAGCTGGCGTATCATAAAAATGTGATGCAGCTGCTGGACTGGAATACAGCAGAAGGTAGGATGTGCTGTTGTGCTTCAGTATTATATGACTCTAAAAAACCTTAAATGGATCCTTGCAGCTAGACATTAAAATATAGACTAGGTCTTGCCTGTACATAACTCACTGACACAGTGTTGTGATAGATGCCAGGACGTTGCTAAAGTCTTCTGAATGTTTTACCATGTTGCATTGTGGTTGCTTGGGTGTCATGGGGACAAAAATATTTTTTTCATGGCTACAGATCATAAAAATTAAGAATTACTTTGTGGTCACGATTTACTAAAACATAGGGAACAAATTCTTAATTTGTGACCACTAAAACAAGGGAAGGAGTTGTTCATTTGTAACCACTATTTATTAAAACGAGGAAACAAATTCTTAATTTGTAACCACTGTTTATTAACTCAACTTTTATTTATAAAGCACTTTATAAATCATTAAAACTCCAAAAAATAACATACAACTTACAAACCAACACAGCATGACACCAATATAAATCGCACAATAAAAGAAATAAGTCTTTAAGTTCCTTTTAAAAATGTCCATAGTTGACCAAGACTCAATGAAAAGCGGCAAAGCATTCCAGAGTGTGGGAGCCACAACTGAAAAGGCTCTATCTCCATTACGCCTTAAACGAGACCGTGGAACAGTTCTGAGAAGAGTGCAGATGACTTTGAGATTAGTAAGGAAACGGCATGTCCTTTATATACTCAGGAGCCTGATTGTGCAGTGCTTAGTACACCAACATTAACACCTTGTACTGGATTCTATCATTTACAGGAAGCCAGTAAAGAGAAATCAAAACAGGTGTTAAATGGTCCCATTTTCTGGTATTAGTTAAAAGTATTACTGCAGCATTTTGAACACCTGAAGACGAGTAACCAGAGAATCACTTAGACCTAAATATAAAGCATTGCAATAATCCAATCTTGTGGAAATGAAAGCCTATTTTGGTCTCCTCTGACCACATGACCTTCTCCCATGCCTCCTCTGGATCATCCAGATGGTCTTTCACAAACTTCAGACGGGCCTGGACATGTGCTGGCTTGAGCAGGGGGACCTTGCCCACGCTGCAGGATTTTAATCCATGACGGTGTAGTGTGTTACTAATGGTAACCGTTGAGACTGTGGTCCCAGCTCTCTTCAGGTCATTGACCAGGTCCTCCCGTGTAGTTCTAGGCTGATCCCTCACCTTTCTCAGGATCATTGATACTCCACGAGGCGAGATGTTGCATGGAGCCCCAGTCCGAGGGAGATTGACAGTCATCTTGAATTTCTTCCATTTTCTAATAATTGTGCCAACAATTGTTGCCTTCTCACCAAGCTGTTTGCCTATTTTCCTGTAGCCCATCCCAGCCTTGTGCAGGTCTACAATTTTGTCCCTGGTGTCCTTAGACAGCTCTTTGGTCTTGCCCATAGTGGAGAGGTTGGAGTCTGATTGATTGAGTGTGTGGACCGGTGTCTTTTATACAGGTAACAAGTTCAAACAGGTGCAATTAATACAGGTAATGAGTGGAGGATAGGAGGGGTTCTTAAAGACAAACTAACAGGTCTGTGAGAGCTAGAATTCTTGCTGGTTGGTAGGTGATCAAATACTTATTTCATGCAATAAAATGGAAATTAATTATTTAAAAATCATACAATGTGATTTTCTGGATTTTTTTTTTATTCTGTCTCTCACAGTTGAGGTGTACCTACGATGAAAATTACAGATCTCTCCATTCTTTGTAAGTGGGAAAACTTGAAAAATCGGCAGTGTATCAAATACTTATTTGCCCCACTGTAACAGTTTCCAGATCCTTGGTTGAAAGGATTGGTTTCAATTTAGATAACTTCCTCAACTGAAAAAAAAAAGATGCTTTCACAACACTGTTTACTTGACGATCAAAGTGCATATTTTAATCAAAATTACTTCTAAGTTCTTCGCAAAACCATGCTTGTTGTTTGACAATACCATAACTCTCAACCAGTTCTTTCTCAGGGAGTCGATTCCCAAATATAAGCTCGATCTTATCCTCATTCAATTTAATTAAAACGAGGGAACGAATTCATAATTTGTAACCACTATTTATTAAAACGAGGGAACAAATTCGTAATTTGTAACCACTATTTATTAAAACGAGGGAACGAATTCGTAATTTGTAATCACTATTTATTAAAACGAGGAAACAAATTCGTAATTTGTAATCACTATTTATTAAAACGAGGGAATGAATTGAGTTGTAACCATTGTTTATTGAAACAAGTTCTTAAGTTGTAACTACTATTTACTAAAACGAGGGAATTAATTCATAATTTGTGGTCACTATTTACTAAAACAAGGGAACGAATTCTTAATTTATGCTCACAATTTACTAAAAGGAGGGAACACATTTTTTTAATTTGTAACCACTATTTACTAAAACAAGGGAATGCTTAAGTTCATTTCCATTAGGTCCATTTTATGGTCCTCCAAGTGAAACTTGTAAGCCTGATCAATTACATAAGTAATATTTTTCTCTTCATCAAGCCACGATTTGTGACATCATTAACAAATATCACTAAATAGTTGTTTCCATCATGTGACCAAAGAGGTGTCTTGTTTCCTCAGAGCCGTATATGCTGATCATGGATTTCATGAGCTACGGAACCCTGCGCAGTTTTGTTCAGAAAAACCAAGATGAGCTAATTGTCGACCCTGAACTGCAGAGCCAGTTCACCATTGCGTCCTACCACATCGCCCTGGCCATGGAGCACTTACGCTCCAAAATGGTATCACCATCTGCCACAAACATAAAACAGCTGTTCTGTTAAACAAACAGAGAGTCATATTTACACTATAAACATGAATGGTAAATGGAAAGAATGATTTTGAACGTTTTCTGTATCATTCAGGTGGTGCACTGTGACCTTGCCTTAAGGAACATTCTGGTGAGCCGATTCCCATGGGAGGTGAAGGTAACAGAGTTTGGCCTGGCCAGAGACTTGACCCGTATGAGGAGCAGACGCAGCAGCAGGAAAAAACAACACAAGGTGAACTAATCGCACCTGTCCGTCCCACGTCCTCATTGCTCATCTCACTGATATGAATGTGATCTCATAGGAGCGTGTGCCGCTGCGCTGGTATCCTCCAGAGTACTTCAGGAACAACTACTACAGCTTTAAGGGAGACGTCTGGGCGTTTGGTATTGTGCTGTGGGAAATGCAGACATTCGGTGAGAATTATCCTGAGATGTTTGGTTGACTTGTTAAATATTTTTGAAGAATAAATAACAAATATAGAATTTTATATTTCACAGGCACCTTGCCATATCCAAGTCTGAACACATCTGAGGAAGTGGTGTATAGTATCTGTGCTGGACGCAAGAACACTGTGCCCAACACCTGCCGTCCGGAAATGTTAGTGACAATTTAACTCTGTTTTGTTTTCTCAAATTATATATAAATTATATATCATTTCAGTAGAATATGTATGTATATAT